CAGTTTCCCATACCTGCTTTAATCTTCTAGATCTTCCAAAATATACAGAAAAAGAAACTCTACGCTCTAAACTGATCCAAGCTATTGATCACAATGAAGGTTTCAGTTTAATATAACTTGGCGATATAACTATTCTGTTTACTGCAAAAGCATTAAACTAATTGTGTTTTTCTTATGATGAATTCAGCAAGGTGACAGAAGGAGTTACTATAATCTTGCAAAATGTTCAATGCTATTAGTATTTATGAAAGCCAAAAAATATTAAAGGAAAAGTACAAACTGTTAATACTGAACTTAATAATGTACAGAACTATGGATTTTTTTGGCCATCTTCCAATAAACATACAAGTATTGTGAATACATTGTAGTTTTACTAACATGAATTTTAAGAGTTTGCATATTTCACAAATGATCTGATGTGTGAGTGCATGGAAATGTTGCTTGAATTTTCTTGAATCACTGGGTAAAAAACCTTTAACTTTGGCCTGCAATAGTCATTTGATTATTTTTTCATTTTGTAAATAATGTTAAGTTTTGTAATAAAATAGTTATGTTCTGATACCAGTACAGTTTCTATGGTTATAATTGAACTGAGATGACTTTTAAAGGTTAAAAATTAAAATTTAAATCTTATTCTGAGAACTTAAAAAGCAAAAATTAGCCTGGTGAAAATACAATGTTTTTTGTGTGTTTTTTTTTGTTTTGTTTTGTTTTCTTTTTTTGCTAGAATACATGTCCTTGTGCAAACTTAAATTATGGGTAGGAATTATCTAAATAACTTATAGTTCTTTCCTTTTGTGAATCTTGAGATGCCACTGATAAATGGGATTATCAGAAAGCTTAATGTTTAGTAATGGAAGAACTTTGTACTACAGGTGCCAGAAATAGAAACATTGGCTACTATGAGAACCAATCACTGAGTTATAGTTTCCAAAACTATTGATGCTGCAGGCTGGATTTTTCAGTGCTTTAGAACTATTTCCTTGAATTTTTAAGAAACAAATCTTAGTTTTATGGTGCTGTTGCTTAGTTATCTCCTGTCGTTAAATTGTAACAGTTGATGCAACACTTGTGACTTTCTGCTATAATGCAAATATTTATTTTTTAAATTTATAAAAATATGCCATGAAAACTGTTCAAATAATAAAGATTTATTGGTTTAATATTTAAATTTTCAGTGGTTCTCATATAAGATTCAAAATTCTTCAAGAAAAGTAATGTCTCAGGGAAGGTCTCTTAAATTTTGGATTGTTTCCATTTCCATCAAAGTTGTCTTAGAGGAAGGGAGAGAGATAGAGAGTTAGAAACATCTGTAGAGGGCCACAGCCCACCACAACATCAATGAGAGAGAAACATCAATCAGCTGCCTCCTGCACACCCCCTACTGGGGATGTGCCCGCAACCCAGGTACATGCCCTTGACCGGAATCGAACCTGGGACCTTTCAATCTGCAGGCTGACGCTCTATCCACTGAGCCAAACCAGCTAGGGCGCCCCCAAGTCTTATAGCAGTAACTCCAAAATCTAAAACAACTCTGAAAAAACTTGCTTATCTCATTTTGCAGCAAAACCCGATCTGAATTGTTGAGGCTATTTATGGCAGTTATTAAATGGTACTTTTTGTACATTTTATTGTGGCAATATTAATGTGTTTATTTATTGTTTTATTTACATGCTGCCTCCGACCCATAGTTCCAAAATGCAAATGAGCCCAGGATTTTTGGAGAAGAGATTGTGGACTTGTACTTTTCAGTAGTTTAATATAAAAACTTCTCGTGGTTATAGGTGTCTTTTTATGAAGATAGAAGCCTTAAAAACAATATTTTCACCTAAGATAATGTTCCTCAAAATTGCATTCTTCCCTCTGAAAATCATTCCATGTACCTGATATCATACAGTTTCCCTGTGCATCTATTACTTGAGGTTAGTGATTATTCATATCAAAAACATATATGCTGTGAAGCTGATCTGTGAAATAGCCACTTAGGAGCAATAGATAGAATTCATTGAACAAATATATATTTATACACACACACACACACTCTTGCACTGGGGGAGGGAGGGTCCCTCAGCCTGGCCTGCACCCTCTCGGAGTCCGGGACCCCTTGCTCCTTACTGCCTGCCTGCTGACTGCTCCTTATTACTCGGCTCACTGCTCCTTAGTGCTGCCATGGAGGCAGGAGGGGCTCCCACCACCACCATTACGCTCGCCAGCCGTGAGTCCGGCTTCTGGCTTAGTGGCGCTCCTCCTATGGGAGCACATTGACCACCAGGGGCAGCTCCTGCATTGAGCTTCTGCCCTGGGGTGGTCAGTGCACATCATAGCGACCAGTCATTCTGGTCATTCCACTGTAACAGTTGCTTAGGCTTTTATATAGACTAGAGGCCCAGTGAACGAAATTCGTGCATTCGGGGGTGTCCCTCAGCCCAGTCTGTGTCCTCTCGCAGTCCGGGACCCCTCCTTACCGCCCGTAGCTGAGGCTGGAGAGGCTCCACCACCGCCTCTGCACTCACCAGCTGTGAGCCTGGCGCTCCCCCTGTGGAAGCGCACTGACCACCAGGGGACAGCTCCTGCGTTGAGCGTCTGCCCCCGGTAGTCAGTGCATGTCATACCGACCGATTGTTCTGCCATTCAGTCGATTTCCATATTAGGGTTTTATTATATAGGATTTTAAAATATATTTTTATTGATCTCAGAGAGGAAGGGAGAGGGAGGAAGAGAGATGGAAACATCAGTGATGAGAATCACTGGCCAGCCGCCTCCTGCATGCCCCACACTGGGGATCGAGCCTGCAACCTGGGCATGTGCCCTTGACTGGAATCAAACCTGAGACCCTTCAGTCCACTGGCTGGCGCTCTCTTCATTGAGCCAAACCAGCTAGGGCTTGAACAAATATTTTAACAAGGACACCTGACATCTTACCTGGGAACACAACTCTACAAGATTAATTTGGGTAAGTCTGATCTTCTTTTCCTGTTTCTGCAGACATACAGTAACATTAACATGGATATTCATGGTAGAAAATTAAAATATCAGTTTTTCAAATTTCCATTTTAAAACTAAAACAAAAAAAAAATACTTTGAGCTTTGTAGACCAGTAGGAAGAAGGCAGAAACTGAGTTCACTAAATTTTAAGGACCATGATTATAGAGTTGACTAAACTTTGAAATTTTTGTAGCTCCTAACTTTAGTAATTTTAACCAATACCCATTGTTCAGACTGATTGGCAGTAGAACCAAGATACACCTTTAAATTGGCATGAAATAAAACCAGAATGGAGATTGTTAAACTGAGACCTAAATCAAAAATCCCAGCCTTCTCAAAGGTTTCCTCATAAAGACCATTCACTGGGGTTCGTTTCTACTAATAGATTTTTTCACCTTTCTGAATAATTTCCCTGCGTTTAGTTTAACAAAAGATCCTAAATCAAAGTATATGTGCAGGGCAGTCTTCACCTGAAGAGGCAAGGGGGACACATTCTTGTTCTCAGCCTCTTCCCACTCGGCAACCTCTTTCACACTTTGGCCATCCAAACTCATGCTAGTTTTCTCCTTTGGCTAAAGAAGTCACTCTTATTTCCTTGGCTCCCCACCTTTGTTATTGGCAACTGAACTATTTCTAGAGATAAATTGGGAAGAGTCTGCCTGTTTTGTGTAAGTTGGCTTTCCCTATTAGACCATCCCCTGGGAAGGGAGTATTCCTTCCCTTTCTCAACTCTTGCTATACTTTTCAATCACTTGGGGGTACTTTTTCATACTGTGCACAAGCCCCACCTTATGCCAATTAAATCTTACCTCTAAGAGATGATGCGGAGTAATTTCCAGGTGAGAGCCACTCAAAATAGGGGAAATAGACCCTTTCTCCATATTTCTGCTAACATCTAGCTTGAGCTTAACGCTCAGATTGTGTTCATATCTGAAGGGAGAGGTCTTAGTGCTTACCACACCCACCTTTTAGATTACAGGTGTAGGAGTTGAGGTTTCAAATAACCATATATTTAATAAGTAGATGATGTAAAGCACCATTGATTGAAGGTACATATACCATCCTATATCATGAAGAGCTAATATGCTAATTAGACCAAGCAGTCAGTCAGGATGACCTTCCTGATGAAGCTGGGGCTGTGAGGGCCAGCCGAGGCTGCAAGGGGCTGCAAGATGCAGCCGGGGCTGTAAGAGCTGAGCCCCTTGCACTAATTTCATGCATCGGGCTTTTAGTCCTATATAATAAAAGCCTAATATGCTAAGTGTCTGGTCATCCATTCAATAACCAAAGTGTAATATGCTAATGATATGCTAAGGCCACTCAATGCTCACTATGACATGCACAGAGCCAGTTTCGGTCTGATTTTATAACATCTAAGGATGGGATTTAGCAGGTAATTTTTCTCATGCAAGTAGGATATATCAGGGCAGAGTATTTGGTATTTTTTTAAAAATTCACTTCAAAAGTTTGCTGGGGAGAAAAGCAGTCAAGGTTTTATTTATATATTTTTAAGGGGTGTGTGTATTCCTGGCCTCCTAAATAGTAATACTTTGTCCCTCAAGGACTTGAATGGACTAAGTAGGTTTTCAGGCCAGCCTTAAAAAATTCATACCCAGTGTGGTTTGATCTAGCGCCAAGAAACTAACTTACACAGAAAACCTAGCTTTTCTAACAGGCTCTTGAATTCACTACATTTGCACCATTCCCTATTGCACCTCCCATCCCCCAAGTCTTTGTATGTCAAGTTTTCTTAGGCCCTGCCTTTCCCCTACATCTTACCTACTAAGGCCCCTATCCTGGAATGGCTGAAATAATTGGTTTTGAAACTTTTGGTGATGCACTAATTGCTACAGTCAGTACTATCAGTGTTTGCTTAAATATTATTCTGGTTAGGTAGTTATAAATTGAATGAAGATATTTACTATGAAAAGAAAGCATCTAACATAGCCCTGAAAGCTGTACAAACTGCAAGATTTTAAAGTATTATAACTTAAACAATGTAAGTTAACGGGGGAAAAGGTCAAATGACAATTTTAATAGACTTTAAAACAGTGTACAAGTATAAAACACTGGTTTTGTATTTCAAAAGTTGGAAGATATCCAGTCATTAAACAGTCTACAAAACATATGCCAGTAGATTACATAAAAGACTATGTACAATATAAAAAGAGCTGAAAACAGTCTTCACTGTAAAAATAATTTAAAACAAAATTTTCAATTTAAAATATCATCTATAGCACAAATACATCATGCAAATGAAAAACTAAATATACTGCATTCTTTAGTGTAGCCAAATAAAATAGATTGAGACACCTTTTAGGTAGGGAAGTGGCCATTCAATAAAATTTTTTCTCTAGCAGTAATGGTCCTAGCTGGGTATTTTATGCTTAAAGAACAGCTGTATTTCAAACCCTTTTTAAAAATTGTAATAAATACCAAAGCAACATAGGAATACTTTATAATTTGGGAGTAATGTTGGGAAAAGTCTGGAAAATTGTTTAGTGTGCAGCTTTATAAAGTATGAACTTTTTGAAAGGCGAGAAGCTTCTGCAGCTGAGAAAGTTGATCTCTAGTTTTAAGGCAGGCTAAGCTTTTAAATAAAGACACAATAGGAATTAATTTCATTCACTAACTATTCTGCTATTACAAGTTACATCATGTTCATCTCCATAGTACTAGGCTAGCAATTTGGTGTTTATTACACCAAATACTCCCAACAGGAGACATGTATTTACTGGCTGAGTTATATATAATTAATATCTTATTACTTTGGAACCATAATCAGGGAACCTGTCACTCTCCTCATGTGTGGAAAAGCAGCAGTTCATAATATTACACTCTCCCCAAAGTTATCATTACTACAGATCATAAAGACTTTTGCATATTCACATCTTGGCAGTTTAATACTTGTGGAAAAGAATCAATGTAAGCTCTACCACAGTGATAGGTATTGAAACAACAATGGGAAATACTCTCAACACTAAGGGGGCCCAGGCAGGCACTATTGTTTCTACAGCAATTGAAACATTTCCAAAGCATTTATTTGTTTTACAGATTAGTTTTATAAGCCAATATAGACATTTCTACATGTCCACAGAAGTACAAAAGCCATCTTCATTTGAACAATACAACATTCCTGAAACTTTTAGCACCAAGTCTTACTTTAAAAAGCAAAGAAAACTGAGTGCTCTCCCATATATTGTTGACTTCCTTCTACTCACATTGCATGTTATGAGATTTTTAAAAAGTTAGCTGCCACAAGTTTTGGAAAATGCCAGTGTTTAAAAATAGGTAATTGTGCTAATAAAGAATCAAAAGTTTAGCAGAACAGAGATTTGAGGATTTCAAACTATTCAATGTTATAAAGAAATAGTAAATAAAAATGAAAATACCATTCTTTGGTCTAGGTAAGCTGTTCCCTTTACATTAACTTAACATTCCAATGGCTTTTTGAAAACTTTAAAATGTTGAAACTCACTAGGCAAAAATGTATAAACAAAAATTATATATACATATGGATGTATCATACAAATGAACCTTTAAAAGTCTTGACCAAGAGCAGGTTAAAGATACTTAGTACCTTTCTTTAAAAAAAAAAAAAAAATTAGTGTTAAGTGTACAAGTACAGAAATAAGGAAGTTAAAAATCTATGAAAAAAAAATCTATTTTACCAGTCTATAAATATTAGATCTTTCCGGTTTCCTTTGTTCTATCGTGTTCACAAGTAAACATTCATTTTGACATGCTAAAGGTTCCTAATGCTGGTGGAACAATTCCTGTACCTGGAAAATTACTACATTATGATTTGTTTGATGGATAATTAATGTCTGTTGCTTCCTGTTTCATAGATATAGCTTCATTGACTGCCTCTTGATCACCTTCATCAGCTCCAAATTCAGTTCCTCCAGCTCTCTCATTAATATCAGGATCATCTTCTAAACCATTGTAAAATTCTTCAATCTCACTTTCATCCTCCAGGGGTTCTTCTAAACTTGGACTCTGGCAGGTTCCACTATCACTATTACTGCCACAAGAACTAGAGGGTAAGACATCATCTTCAGAGTCTGAATATACTTCAGCACCATGGAAAATGTAACGACTTGGTGGTAAAAACAGGTATTGATTACCTGAAATAGAGAAATAAAAGAGAAATAAGTTACTTCAGTCTGATTGGGCTGTCTGGAATAAGTGTAGGTTCCAGCTCTGCCTTTTACCTGAGTATCAATAATAGAAACTATTATTACTCTGGTGATTTTCAAAAACAAGCTAGTACTGGGTACGAAACTTAGTTCTGCTACTCATCAGAGCTTTGTAAATTTGGGCAGTTATCTCTCTGCCTAAATTTCCTCATCTGGGAAAAAAATAATTTTAACAACCCTATGAAGTAAATTATGAAAAAACTAGAGGCCTGGTGCACAGATTTGTGCACTTGGGGGGAGGGGACGGATGGTCCCTCAGCCCAGCCTGCACCATCCTCGGGGATCGGGCCTAAGCCAGCAGTCAGACATCCCTCTCTCAGTCTGGGACCCCTAGTTCCTTGCCACCCACCCGCAGCGGAGGCAGGAGAGGTTCCTGCCACCGCTGCTACATTCGCCAGCCGTAAGCTGAGCGGCACTCCCCCTGTGGGATTGCACTGACCACCAGGGGGCAGCTCCTGCGTTGAGCGTCAGCCCCCTGGTGGTCAATGCACATCATAGCAACCGGTCGTTCCGCCATTTGGTTGATTTGAATATTAGGGTCTTATTATATAGGATGTAGAGAACCGTGTTCAATAAAGAACGAACTTACTAACTCCTTTGAATAGATTTGAGATGAAATGAAGTACCCAGCCTAGTCTACATTAGATACCTAATTCATGTTCATTGAATATAACTTCTGTAAAGCACATGTGCTTTCAAAGCATCTTTATTAAACATTTCCATTTACCTTTGCCTATTATAAACCTAAAAATAGTTTAATACGGCTTCACTACCTACTCAAAGTAGTCTGTAGACACTGGCATCACCTGAGTTTGTTACAAATTTTCAGGCCCAATACTTCCCACCTACTGAATCAGAATCAGTATACATGAGTCCTCACACACATTGAAGAGTGAGAGAGAACTGATCTAGCAATAGATTTTAACCTTTCTACCTCAACTCCCTCCCAAATTTGTACTGACAGTATGAGATTTAACCTATGATAAGAGGAGTTCCCTGTCCCCCCTAAGTCATGGACCCCAGGTCAAAAGCACCTCCTTTAATATGTTCTACTCTTAAGAGCATTAATTTGCATCTATGAATACTAATAAAGTTAAATGTCCCAACTTGGTCAAATTTAGTTTAGGTTTAGATTCTTAAATTAGCATTTTTCACCAGATTTACTTGGATTTAAACATTGATTTCCAAAAATTAGAAAGTGACTTTACCTAGCAGGTTTTCTATGTGGCAAAAGGGGAGATGCTATTCCTTATCTTCTATCTATATAAAACCCTAATATGCAAATAGACCGAATGGCGGAACCGAACTGGTCGCTATGACATGTGCTGACCACCAGGGAGCCCGTGCAGAACATGGCAGGCTTTGGCAGCAGGAATGCAGAACATGGCGGGTGTTGGCCGCAGCGGGATGGCGGAGCAGGTAAGTGGGGGCGCCAGACCAAGGTGGGGTGCTGGTTGCTGTCATTGGGGCGAGCCTCTGGTGGTTACTCAAAATTCTTTGCTCCTGCACGCCGGGGTCCCGCCCTGTGCTCATACCTACTGCCAGTGCCAGAGCCGCTACTGGCGCTGGCCCCGCTCATACCTGCTGCCGGCGCTGTCCGAGTGTGGGAGTGGGGCTGTCCGATGGAACCAGGGGTCGCGGCGGGAGGAACCGAGCAGGGTGCAGAAGATGGGCTGAGACCCACCCTGTGCCCACCACAGCCTCAAGGCCCCCGTTCCTTTCAAGATGCACGAATTCGTGCACTATGCCCCTAGTAATTAGTGGGGAAGAATCAGATGCTTTCTAGATCTGACACAACACAGCATAGTGATTAAAGGGCAGGCTCTGGGGATATGCCTGGAATACAATCTTGGTTCTTCCAAATCCTAGTTGTTACCTTGCATGGGGTATTTAACCTCTATAGTTCTCAAGATTTCCCACCTGTAACAGAGATGTAATAATAGTTCCTACATCAGATTGAAGTCAGATACTGTGTGTGAAGCAGCTAACCCACAGTAAGCACTGAATCTGTCATTTCTACCTGACATGGCAGAGCACTCAATATTTCCCAATTTTATTCTCAAGTTAATGCTTCTTATTCCCTAGAGTAACATAGGTACTAAGCATACTTCAAACACACTTTCTTCCCCATATTATGTAAGATACCAATGTTTATCTTTCTCTAGCTTGACTACTCAACTTTGCAATGTTACATTTAGCTACCCTATCAACAAACCTGCTAAAGTTGCTCATTTCTTGCAAATACTGTTTAATTATATCTTCCAAAAATAGTTTCTTACCATCAAGCCGTTTACTAATCTGCTCCTTTGCAATCTTGGCTGGCCAGTACTTTCTCACTGTTTCAGCTACTGAAGTTCTTTCATTTTTCTCCACAGTATTAGAGCTAATGTTCTTCAAATCCGGACTCTCCAACTGTTCAGTAACACTTTCAATGCTCCTAGTAGAAGTCTGGACTGCCTGTGATTTTTCTTCCATACAATCTTTTGATTCAGACACATCTGGATCATCAATATTACTCTTCATTGCATGGTCTAAAAGTGTGACAATCACCGAAGAATCTGGTGGTGAAGTTCTTTCTGGTGAACTGGAGCCTTCTGAAATATTAAGAGGTGTGGGTGGCAACTCTGACAAATGAGCCAGCTCTTTTTGTGTTCGTGGAGGTTTTTCAGTAATTTCTGAAAGCTTTATAGGGTTGCAGCAAAGTTTGGCATATTCACCACCTAACCTATGACACAATTCATTAATTATGACATCACAGTCTCCAAGAAGCTCCACGTCAAAATGCAGATGAGGCAAAGGTTCCCTATTAATCAATATCTGAGGCACTTCATGGGGTATGGAACCTAAAAATAGGGTGAAAAATACAATTTAGAAAAAGGGAGATAAGTAAGCTAATAAAGCCACAACAAATGCACTATTGCAAAAATATAACATTCTCCCAATACCAAAAAATAACTGGCCACTTAACCAAGCCATTGTCATTTCATCAAGCTATCAAGGAAACAGATGAGTAATTAAACATCTTTCATAAAATTTCAGGTTCTGCTTCTGTCACCTGGTTACCTCTTAGCAATCTTTTTGGATTTTTTTACTCTGTACCTCAATTTCCTTGTCTATCTAATGGAAATAACAGTACTTTTCTACAAAGTTGCAGTGAGGATTAAATGAGTTAATATATTTCAAGTGCATAGAAGAGGTCTTGGCACATAGCAAGTGATCATTCTTTTTATTGAAATAGCTCCTAATATAAAAAGTGTGAGGACTTCTGGTCAAGATGAGCTTGCCTCTTCCCATAATCACATCAAAATTACAACTAAATTACTGAAAACCACCTGTTAAGACTAGCTTAACAGAATTCCTATAGCTAAGGATATAAAGAAGCGACACAGACTGACAGGAGGGGCAGACAAAACAGGAAGATCCTAAGCCCAGGAGGGATATCTTCGCTGCTGAGGTCGCCTTTGAGAAGCCAGGGATCCCAGCCCCAGATCAGGCTCCACAGCCCATGGCACCAGTGTCAGAAGAGAAGTCCCCATTAATACCTGTCTGTGAAAACCGGCAGGGATCTGAGAATCACAAAAGCTTTGAGACAAAGGTACTGCCCTTAAAGCAGTGGTGTCCACCAACCTTTCGGACCTCACGGACCATCAGTCCGTGGACCACCAGTTGGCAAAGGCTGTCTTAAAGGACTCGTGCTCTAAGCTCCAGCACAGGTACCAGCTTGAAAAATGCCAGGGACAGTCCTAGCCGGTTTGGCTCAGTGGATAGAGCATAGGCCTGTGGACTGAAAAGTCCCCGGTTCGATTCTGGTCAAGGGCACATGCCCAGGTTGCAGGCTCAATCCCCAGTGTGGGGGACGTGCACAAGGCAGCCGATCAATGATTCTCTCTCATCACTGATGTTTCTATCTCTCCCACTCCCATTCTGAAATCAAAAAATAAAATTAATTAAAAATGCCAGGGACAGGGCAAGAGATAGAGGGACAGGGATGGGGGTCAACTTTCTCTGGGGATGGAAATACTCCTAGACACCATTGTTCCACTGTTGAACTCACCTACCACCAGCCCAGTGCAGGCAGGTGCCAAATCTGTGCTTTCCTTGAACTTAACACTGTTCACCTGGCCCGGGTGATTCCCTGAGACGCAGCCCCACCCAGCTCCCTTGCCTGGCCAGAGCCTCTCCTACTTGCTCCTCCACACAAACCGCCTGCCTTCGCTGGCACTTCAGACTTTCCCCAAAACTCAGAAACCTCACAGTGTTGGCTGGCCTCTGCTGGTGCTACAAACTCTCAAAGGTCTGCAAACCTCACACAGTGCAGCAGCTGGCCTTGGCATGCACTGACGCTCCTGCCAAGCAGCCCCAAGCCCAGCACAAGTGCGCCCAAGCTCAGCTTGCATTCTAACTCCCATTCGGCGGCTGCACACCTGGCTAAGTGGTGGAGGCCAGTGTTTGTAACACAGCTCTAACTAAGCTACCACAAGCCTGACAAATGGCAGGTGCACTCGTCTCATCATAGTGCCACCAAAGGGTCCCAAGTCTGGCACAACTGGCAGCCAGCCTCGGTTCACAGCAATGCCTCTCCCAAGCACCTCCACGCCCAGCACAAGTAGCAACCAACCATGATCACTCTGTAGACCTACCAAGCTGCCCCAAGACCAGCACAAGCCCCAGCTAACCTTGACCTGCACGGGAGTCCCTTCCAAGAAGCTCCAGACCCAACACACCTGGTGGACAGCTTCAGACCAGAGCCCCAACCCACTCAGCTCCACAACTGATACACCCACTGGCACCAGAACCATGCTAAAGCAACTCATATTATTGTATTTCAAATATAATTGAAAATTAAATTTTAAAAAGTGTGAAAATTCATACAATTCTCCACTATTATATACCTGTGTCTTACATTTTTTAAATGCAGCTTTACTGCCTATCTACCAATGCACTATTATACTGCACCCCAGCAGGCTCTTAAGAATGTTTCTGCCTAGCACGGGCCAGATAGCTCAGTTGGTTAGAGCATCATCCCAATATGCCAAGATTGCGGGCCTGATTCTCAGATCAGGGCACATACAATAATTAACCAACGGTCCAGTTGGTGTGGCTCAGTGGTTGAGCTCGACTTATGAACTAGGAGGTCACCGTTTGATTCCTGGTCAGGGCACATGCTCAGGTTGTGGGCTGGATCCCCGGTGTGGGGCATGAGGGGGCAGTCAATCAATGATTCTCTCTCAACATTGATGTTTCTCTCTCCCTCTCCCTTCCTCTCTGAAATCAATAAAAACATATTTTTTAAAAAATCAACCAATGAATGCATAAATAAGTGGAAAACCAATCAGTGTTTCTCTCAAGTCAATTTTTTAAAAGAAAGTCTCTGCCTTGCCTTTAAGGAGGAAAAAAAACTCAAAAATAAAGGCGCTTATTTATACATTAAATTTTTGTGTTTTATTTAATTACAAATTGTCCTATATTCTAACAATAGGATTTCTCAGTTATGTAGGGAAGACAATCATACTGCTAAAAGCAACTACATATAGGGTAGGAAAAAGATATAGAATTAGAGTTTAAATCCTTGTTTCTTCCAACTATTTACTCTGGTTGCCTATTTGATTGCTGGTTATAGGGATCTAATTTAATTCTCTGATTAAGGGTTTGATATTCTCTCTTCTCCTTCCTTCATTTTTTAGGGCATACCTGATGCTACTGAGTTAGTATCCCTTTATCTTCCCCCTCTCCCTTGCTTCTTCACTAGAGGGAGAAAAAGGTAGTATGAGAGCATGTGTTCCTGACAATAATAGGGACTTCAATTGTATTTGAGCATTTACACAAAATACCCTTATGGATAAAGTAAATCCACAGATGATTATGACAAGGCATGATTATTATTCATACAAAAACAAGCCAATTCTTTAGACTTCCCAAATTCTTTCTTACATAATATGTTATACTTCTATCAAGCTAAAAATTTTCATTTAATTTGAACTGTTTCCCTTTGTCTAAATTTTTTATGTACATTAGAACCTGACATTATTTCTGTTTTTACACCCATCTCATCTCCCCTGCTCACAAGTCAGATTAACATGAACAGAATGTCACCTAAAAAATAAAGTTTGGTTCTTCATCACTCTTTAACCAGAAACAGAATAAGATCACTGGAGTAGATTGTACTGTACAGACTCATAACCCATGGCAATATATAAGGAAATATTCTCTAAAAATCATCACCAACTTACTTGGAATTAGTGCTACTGGTCTTACTTTCAGGGAAGACCCAATAACAATGAGGAGATCAACTTCATCTTTGTCATACTTCATGGCTCTATGAAATTGTTCTGGTAAATTTTCACCAAAAAAGACAATCTCTGGTTTCATAATAGCAAGTGGTTCATCAGCTGGGCACCTAGGACATCGAGGAACCACCTGCATGTTTCCGATTTTTGGTTGAGGTGGGGAAGAGAAGGGAAAGGCCAACTTAGAAACAGTCAATATTTCCACAGTTGCCAAGAATTCATTTCAAAATCAACAAAGAAAACAGAAAAGTTGTGGATAAACAGGGAAACTGGGTACAACCTAAACATCAATGTCAATTGTCACAATTTAACATAAACTGAAATACAATGTTGCTATTATCTGTGTATACTATTATACATCTGTACAAACCTACATTTGATATTCAAGGGTTTATTGTACAGTAAAAGAAAAAGCCAGCATGTGTATATATGTATGTACACACATATACACAACCCACACACACAGATTTAATCCTTTTAAAAAGAATAAGTTTCGTCCGACCAGCGTATTTCATAGGTGATTGAGCGTCGACCTATGAATCAGAAGGTCACAGTTTGATTCCTGGTCAGGGCATATGCCTGGGTTGCAGGCTCGATCCCCAGTATGGGGCATGCAGAAGGCCGCCAATCAATGATGCTCTCTCATCATTAATGTTTCTAACTATCTCTTCTTCTCCCTTCTCTGAAATCAATAAAAACAAAATAAAATAAACAAGATTAAGTTTGTAGGATACAATGATTCTGCCCTGGCCATGTAGCTGAGTTGGTTAAAGAGTCGCCCTCATAAGCCTAGGTTACAAGTTCAATCCCCAGTTAGGGCACATACAAGAATGAACCAATGAATGCATAAATAAGTGGAACACAAATCGATTTTTCTCTCTCTCTCAAAATCAGTAAGTAAAAAAGATACAGCCATAGCTGGTTTAGCTCAGTGGATAGAGCGTTGGCCTGTGAATGAAGGATCCCGGGTTCGAGTCCTGTCAAGGGCACATGCTTGGGTTGTGGGCTCGATCCCCAGTGGGGGGCGTGCAGGAGGCAGCCAATCAATGATGCTCTCTCATCGTTGATGTTTCTTGTCTCTCCCTCTCCCTTCCTCTCTAGAATCAATAAAAATATATTTGAATATCATTTAAAAAATAAAAACAAAAAAGATACAATGATTCCATTTTAATATACTATCCTCCTAGGTATATATGCTTATATATGCAGGTAAATGAATAGAATTTATTTCTGGATGGTTTTTATTCTTTGCCATATTTTCTTGTAGTATTTTGGCAGTGAGCATATATGAAATACCTTTTACAATAAATTTTTTAATGTTTAAAGAATTACCACCTTAATTTAAAATTCTGAGTCTGACAGGCACTACAAAGGGAGAGTAAGAAGAAAAACTAATATAGCAACACCTCACTTATGATCTGGATTTTTATTTTAGTCTTTGATATTAAGGAGCCAATTTCATCACTTTAGACATCATAGACCAATGTTTTCAACTTAAGGTACTGAATGGTTCATTTGGTGTATTTCACCAGAATTCCCAATGGTAATACTCTCTTCCTAGATCTTTTTGTACCACACAAATACTTTCAGGGGAAAAAAACAAAAACGGTTTGGGAGGCAAAAGAAGAAACAGATTAGGCCAGTGTGTCTCAATGGTTGAGTGTCAGGACATATGCCCGGGTTGTGGGCTCCAACCCTGATAGGGGGCATGCAGGAGGCAGCCTATCAATGATATTCTCATCATTGATGTTTCTATCTCTCTCCATTTCTCTGTGAAATCAATAAAATTAATTTAAAAAAAGATCAGAAACATGCACAATTCCTAAAATATGGGTGATAAATTACCTGATTAAAAATATCTCCTCGTACAGCTTCACAGTCAACTTTGTATTTACAAATCAGGCAAGACGCTGTTGCAAATGAACCTAAAAAATACAACATGCATGTTTTATTAATGAAATGTTTCCATTTATTAAGCATACTACAAAGGTTAATATGTTAAAATTTTAAAAGAATCCATGGGAGAATCTAGGGTATGAGTAATTAAAATACTTATATAATAAGTAAGGAGAGAATCCAATCCTCAATTGCTGAGATGTTGATACAATGATGACTCCCCTAAAGCTACTCTTTTCAATACAATAAACCAACTCTTCCAGGGCTAAAACGCTAGAGTTGGAAGATTACAACTGTACAGTATTACTTTAGCCTAATAGTTGTTTTAAAAACAATTCAGATACATAATGTTCTGTTCATACTTGTTATACTAGATGGAAATTTCTAAATACTGTTCATCAGAACTACCAAGTTCCTTTGGTTTCATAATCTAAATATGTCTTTTCATACTTAGCTATATTACGTTTGTAATTTTAAAAAGGTTACTTAAAAGAATGTAATGGAATGCAACTGTTACATCTTCTGAAATCCAAAAGCACATTGATTTCTCATGTTTTGTGTGTCAAGGCCAATCCTTCCAGTTTCATGGGTTTTTTGCATTCCACTTTTCTTATTTTATCTACAACTGGTCAGAGAGCATGAGTAAATAATAAAGCTCTATCTCCATTCCTGGATGGCAGCCTACTTTCTAATCCTAACTTTTCCTAGGATTAACAAAACTAAATAACAGAAAGCAATTCTGAAGTTTACTAACCATGACACTGAATTATCCTTTGGATTCCTGCAACCTGTTCCAGTGTATCTATGTTCTGAGTATAGTTGCGAAGTAGTTTTCCTTCCTTATCCGACAATGCTATGAATTTGTGACAGAGAGATGGCTGGAATTGTCCAGGATATATTTCCTATATAAGGCAAAAGGCAGAAAAAACATTACATTTAAGAAATAAGTATAACAGATATCACATATTTAGATTTAATAACAAAAAAACTACCAATGTTAATGCCCCATGTATAAGTAATTTAAAAACTACATGAGCATCTCAAAGCATCTAGATGGGTACAACACACACCTACAAAAGGATTGTTGCTGTTATATGTATAAAACTCAGCAATTAGTGAACTTGGCCCCTTGAAAAGGATAAAGATGACCCATAAACATCTCTAATAAATGTTAACAGATATTTTAATAAAAGTCAGAAGAAATACACACCTTAGAACATATCTAACTTTTGTTGGCTGCAAATTCAGTTGTTGTTTTAAAGCAAAAGGGGGAGTAGTTTAAATTGAAATTAAAGATATCAAAGGTATGGTGACTTCTTTTTTAAAAACATAAGAATATTAAAATTTTCTTATTCATCATTCATTATAAATATAAACCTGTTGGAAGTTTAAAGCTAAAGTTTTAATTCCTTACCAAAATTGTTTTCCTTCCACTGCACAGGCACATACTGGTATAGTATAGAGTTGCTCATGAATGCTGAGTTGCTGGATTTTGTGTGTGTGTTTTTCCCCCCAAATAATGCTTCAATGCTGTTTCTTCTTTAAAAACAAAGAATTCAGATATACACATGGCAAAAAGATCAGAGAAAAATTATCAATTTTGGTCCTCTCAACTTTTGACAGTGTTTATATTTCATTTAGTAAGTGACTATGGCAAAGGAAGTTTCTTCATTAAAGTAGTAGTGCTACCTTCTACTTCCTTACCATTCATTACAGCCTCTAACCTATTACAATGGTAGCAAAAAACTAGACACAACCATATGTCCATCAATAGGGGACCGGTTGTAGATATGTGGTACCATCCATAATAGTGGAGTATGCAGCCATTAAAATTAATAGGAGGTTTAGATGCACTGACCTGGAAGATGGTTCATGACATACATGAAAAAAGCAAGTTAGTCACTGGTGTGTTTTGTTTTTATTGTTTTGTTATTAAGCAAAAATGGAAATAATATGCACATGCATATAGATATGTTCATAAAAACATCAAGTCAGGAAGGATTCAAACAAGCTATAAACAGATGGGGAACTTTCACTTCTGATATTATACAAAAAATGTTGAATAAGATTATAGATGACTACTTTTAACCTATTTAATATTTCAATTTTTTTAAAAAAACTATCTACAGGTATATCTTTCCGGTAAAATTAATAAGTAAAATCTCTTTATAACTGTCACATACAGGTCCATATGCTGTTGAAAATGGAATACAAAAATCCAAAAATTTTCCTCACATTCAAATTTTTGTCATGAATTTCATGGAAAACTTTGCAATTTACAAAAGACAATGCACATATTGAAAGAAGTAACAAGTGAAGAGCTTAATAAAGCTAATGTTTATAAAAAATTTAAAGCAACACTGTGTTCTAGACCAGTGGGTTGTGCTATACTAACCACTGTTTTAGCTACAAGATGCTTTGTTCTAGTACATTCATATTTACATGTAGAGGCTTAAACATAATTGTATTTTATTAAAGCTCCCTCTGTAAATAGCTGTTAGAGTGTTTTAACAAATATTAGAATATGCTAGGCAACAAATAAAATAACATCTAAAGTAGGAAGAAAAGTGATAACAGCATGCCAAACAAAATAAGAACAAATGACCTCCAGAGCAGGGTCAGGGAGTAAGAGTGCCAAGACTCCAAGACTCCTGAAATGAACTTTTATGTGCCTTATCTTCCACCCCCTCTTTTAAAGGGGAGGGTAAGAAGCACAAAGATATGCAGACACTAGCTTCAGCTCTACACTCCAATTTCCCTTCATGTTCTAACCATAACAGTTCAAGGTAGTTTAGCCCTTAAAGTTAAAAATCAATTTCTATAGTTGGGAATCATTTATGAAGCTCTTTTTTATAAGATTAAATTTTATGTGCTAAGATTTGAAACTAACTTTGTCTATTTTCTTTCAAATATGTAGTGGACCATGTCTGAACATCCTCAAGTCCTATCAAGGAACCGATCATGTGGACTGGGCCAATCTGTTAGTGCCATAGGGATCCTCACAAATGAGAGAAAGCAGAGCTGGGACCAAAGGCTCAAAGCACTTTTTTAAAAAGACCTGTTGCTTCCATACACCTGTGTTTAGAAATATGCAAACACTTCAGTAATTGTCCAAAGGCAACCAATAGGGTCCAAATTAAAGCTTAGAACTACCTGCCATATTGAGGTTTCATGCAGAAAAAATGGCTCTCCTCCAAAAATGATCTCTACTTGATTTCATCTAAAAATTTCTAGCAATATGAGTGAGACCCCAGTCAAAGGCAGGGATGTTAACTGCAACCCCTCAAAAATAAAAGGACTCATCAAAGTTTGAGATGCACTATTTGCTAATATCCACCTCCTCCTACAGAGCAGAGGGAGACAGTTAAGTAGAGTTGGTAATAAACTAGAACCTAAAATCTCTTGCTGAAAAAAAAAAAAAAAACCACCACACACAAAAAACAACAAAACACACACATCGGTCCTGGTTAGAAAAATCTTCATAATCACTTGTTTCATTCATTCCACAAAACCACACTTGATAGACTACTCAATATCTTACCTAATCAGCACTTACAAATTATTAGTCATCTGACAAATTCAACTGCCTTTTCTAAAAATCTGGTTCCCTGAGGAACTCAAGGTTCAGCAAACTTTTTCCAAACAAGGACAACAATTAGTAAATATTTAAGGTTTCCATATGGTCTCTGTTGCAACCACTCAATCTTCCAATATAGTGCAAAAGCACCTTAGACAATATGCAAATGAATGAGCATAGTTGTATTGCAATAAAACTTTATTTACAGTCACCAACATTAGAATTTTCATGTTCATATGCCATGAAAAACTATTCTTTTCATTTTCCCCCTCCCATTTAAAAACTCTTAGCTCAAGGGCTCCATAGAAACAGACAATGGACTACATTTGGACTGAGGCTATAGTTTGCCAATTCCGGTACTAACCTAACACAAGAGAATTTCAGTTAGTCGAGCTATTAGTTACCATTTAATGAAGTTTTAGTATGTACTAGACATAACAGGAGCAATTTATTATAATGCTATAAACTAGGCTGAGGACTGAGTTTTTACATTTTAAAAGGTTGTACAGAAAAACAAAGAACATTTAATAAAGCTCCTATGGTGTCCACAAAGCAGACATTTACTACCTGATCCTATAAAGAAAAGATTTGTTGACCATACTGTAGGGTATATATCCCCATTTTGCAGATGAAAAAAACCAAAGCACAGAAGTCACTTGTCAAAAGTCACAAGAACCAGTAAGTAGCAGAGCTATCATTCAAACCCAGTTCTGATACCAAAGTGTGGCTCTTAACCACTATGCAATAATAACTTTTCTTTTTTTTTTAATTTAAATTGTTGTTGAAAGTATTACATGTCTAATAATATCTTTTCAATGTTTGATCCCTGTACCTCGTTTCATACTCTTTTTTTAGGCTAAGCATCAATTCTGTTAGGTACTGCTAACTAGTCTAAATCTAAGATCAATCTAGTAAGTACACTTCATTTTGCACATCTTCATGGGATTACTGAAGGCTGGAATTCCAATCACCTTATAACATAAAAACATTCTTCAAGAATACATAATGTTCCCACAAATCAGTAAAAGGAAAACATCCCACTGGGAAAAAAATGCCGAAGAACAATCAAATGATTCAAGGATATACACATGACCAGTTGTAGAAAGCAATAATTCACACTAATAAACTAAAACAGAACACTGATGAGAAAAAATGCCCATTTTTTTCTATTCAACTAATAGTTTTAACTTCCTGAAAAACTTGAGATGTACATTAATAGAAGACTGATTAAATATATTGTGGTACAACTATAAAATACTCTACAGGCCTTTTCTTAAAAATAAGTTATTTCTGTTAAGTGCCATTATGAAACTATTTCTAAGAGTATTATGTGTATGGGGGGGGGGGTGGAAGCAAGGTTAGAGAAATGGGTGTATAATTGTTAGTAATCATTTTCAAAGTATTACTAGAAACTTAAAATACTCCTCCTCCCATACACACACACACACACACACACACACACTCTCTCTCTCTCTCTCTCTCTCTCTCTCTCTCTCTCTCTTACTCATTTCTTTCTCTCCTGGAAGGCCCAAGAAAATACAGTAACCTTTGAAGAAAGAGATTCAAGATAGGGAAACTAAAGGGAGGCCAACTAATGTTTACATACTGTACTGTTTGGATTTCTTTGTAAATCATATTCACAACACACACACACACACACACACACACACACACACACACTTTATTTAAAAAAGTATTTTAATGCCAATAATGTACTGCAGAGAATTTGAGGGAGTGGGCAGGGGCATGTTAAATCAGCCCTCTCATGCACTTCTTCTGACGGGAATGTATTTTATTCAACCTTCACAGATAGCAATACAGCAAAATGTATCAGGAGCCTTGGCAATTTCCTTTTTAGGAGTTTATCCTAAGAACATTGGAAACACACCAAAAAGGATAATCAAAGCAACCCTACTTGTGATAACAGAAAGTAGAGAACATTCAAACGTACACTTGCAGGATTAGTTCATTACATTACTTGATGAACATTATGACGACTATAAAGTATTCAAGTGTCTGACACAAAAAACTTATTAAGTAGGAACTACTACAAATACAAATCAGTAGGAAAAAGAGCCCATTTTTATAATAAAAATGTAATATATACCTAGCTATAATACTTTATGCCTATATTTATACATCTGTAATCCATATACACGTAAGTATTAATATATTGTTTTCAGATAAATGGGACTGAGGCTATTTTTTTTTGCATGCATGCATGCATTTTTTGATTTTTAGGTAATGAACTGGTTTTAAGAGTCTTTAACTTTTATAACTACATAATCTGGTATGTTAGAACATTATCAATAAAGTGAGAATTTATTGAATAAATATAAAGATACATTTTTTTGGAATTAAGTTCAGTTCACATTTTCACATTTCCATCCTCTACTTCTTCTTGAGTTTTAATCATTTTAATGGAAAAAACATTCACTGAGCCCTAACCGGTTTGGCTCAGTGGATAGAGCATCAGCCTGCGATCTGAAAGGTCCCAGGTTCGATTCCGGTCAAGGGCATGTACCTTGGTTGCGGGCACATCCCCAGTGGGGAGTGTGCAGAAAGGCAGCTGGTCGATGTTTCTCTCTCATCGATGTTTCTATCTCTCTATCCCTCTCCCTTCCTCTCTGTAAAAAATCAATAAAATATATTTTTTTAAAAAAATTCTACTTAAAAAAGAAAAGAAAAAGCATTCACTGAATTCTATACAGGTTAGCAAATACACTCTGGACAGTCTTAAAAAAAACTTATTTTATCCATGTTCAGGTTCACCTTTACTGACTAACCTACTCAATTTTATCAGCATCAGTCAATTATTCTAGACTCCTGAGAGCTCTGATACAAGACGATAATGGTTCAGGACATGGCTATGTAGCTTTATGTTGGCCTTAATTGTTCTTGTGTGAATTTCAAAGTGGTAACCCAGCTAGGCACACTGTATCACAATGGTGCTCAAACGGGGAAGATTTTGCAGGGAACACTTGGCAATGTATGGAGACATTTCTGAATGTCAACACTGGGAGTGGGGGATGTTAATAGTATTTAGTGGGAAGAGGGATGCTGCTAAATACCCTATAATTCACAGGGCATCTCCTCATAGCAAAGAATTACCCACTCCAAAATGTCAATGGATTGAGAATCTGCTTTAATGGGCCAGTAACTTCTTTAAACACACCTCTCCATTACTTGGAATTTCCAGTCTAAATGAAATCTAAGTTTCTTCTCAATAATTATATATAATCAATGGCTTGATGCATTAAGGAAATTCTTCCAAAAATTCACCAATAATAACGTAACTTCATATTACATTCATTTTCTCTCACAACTAGCAAAAACCATAAACCATTTAACAAACTTTCTGCTTACTTATAGCAACTGGTAGAAAAATTTAGGTTATTAGTGTTTTAGTCACATATTTCATGAACCTAGTAAAATATAACAATATTTGCATACCCTCTCCTTCCTCCATTTTTGGATACTATGCTTTGTTCCTTGTTCTTATTTCTCCTTAACCTTTTCCCCAATTATTTATTTTTAGACCCAATATTAACTCAGCCTCTTCTACCTATTACTATTTTAAGTGCTGCTTCAGCAACTAGAAGCTTTCTTTTAGGCAGTTCATAATGGGAAAATTAAAGTGCAACAGTTCTATATGAATAGTAGTTATAAAGGTTAATTATTTAGCTTTTAACAAAACTTAAATGAAAGCTCACAAAAAATAATCAAGCAAAATTAAGTTTATATGAACAATACTTTATAAATGAACTTAATTTTTTTCATTTTACTAACAATAAAAAAATGCATAAAATCTTAAAACTTTTATATTAAAGTGAAAAAATACCACCCCTCCAACCCTTTCTTCTCCCAGATGGTATATAACCTAAACACAGTGGTTAAGAACACTGTAACACATTGTTATTTTCTCTTATGTACTGTCTAGATTTCTATTAAGCACACTTTTTTAATTTCTTATACTTTTGTGTTTATCATTCTAATTCTGAATTGTTTCTATCAATTTTTACATGTCAAAGCTAGTTAAGCTACCAATGAATACCCAGTTTGTATATTAGACAACTAGGGGTACAATCTTTCTCACCTTGCTATTTCTATTCTCAGTTATCACATTTTTCCAAGTGTCAGGTTACTACTTTACTAAGCAATTTAGCACATACTAAAGTGATGGGGGAGGGGGGGTGGGAACTGACAAGTTAGTTTGGGCAATATGTTTTCTTTCCTTTCAGAACACAGAATTACAGCAAGTCTTACAAGCATTACATAAATGGATTAGTGAATCAAGCTTTAATAATGAGAAATAAGATCAAGTCATTTCTAGTTACCTGCTGGCCTTCTATAAGTGTTCATTTCTGCTAACTAGAACTGTTATATAATGCTAGTATCTTAGGTTCAATTCAAGAAACCTATAACTAAGTGACATTTCATTGGTCTGCAAAATCATGCATTAGTACTACTAGCACCGGTGAAACAGTAAGTCTTCACTAATTCATAATCTTGTAATTAAGAAAAGAGAATAATGTAAAGAAACTAACTTTATTTATGTAATTCAATGTAAACCAGGTGTCAGTTCTTAAATTAAAAATTCTCTTAGCCTGAAAATTTCTCAAATTCGGTTTTCAGTTTTAGCAATTAAGTCATATTCAAGAAACTTAAATATAACTTCCACATTTTACTCTAATTCTTATTTATAACCACACTTGAATGAAACAAAAGACTATTTCTTTAAGAACAAGTCAACCAATTTAAACTCCATTTATTTTAAATTAGCAGAGCTTTTCCTATAGTTATGTAAATAGACAATATGGTTTGAAAGTACTGAGATTACCCCTTTAATTAAAATGTAGGTTCCAACTTCTAGATTCACTAAAAATAGTCACTAACACAAAAGACCCTTTCAAAATACTGAAGCTTAGCAATAGCAATTTTATAATTTCTTCCTATAAAACTAAACTGTGGAGGAAAAGAAAATAATAGTTTTCTGATTAAAATATCTTGAGCTTGGTATAATGCAGCAATTAGCAATCTTTTTCATTTAATGGCACACATAAAACTCATTACTAAAATTCTGTGGCACATCAAATATATATTTTTGCCGATCTGACAAAATAAAATAGTTATCAGTGTGATTCATTCACACTGGATGGCTATTGTTGTGTTGGCTATTGTCATTTTTTTATTTGACAATCTAAGGGAAAAGAGTGAGTCAGTGCTCCTGACTAAATAGTCAGGTATTCTTTGTTTTGTGTTTTGTTATTAATCCTCACCTGACGATATTTTTCCAGAGAGAGTGAGAGAGAGAGAGAGAGAGAGAGAGAGAGAGAGAGAGAGAGAGAAAGAGTGTGTGTGTGTGTGTGTAGGGAGGTAGGCAGAGGGGGGAAGAGATTTGAAAGACACATTGATTTGTTTGCCTTCCGCATGGCCAGGATGGGTCAGGATTGAATCTGCACCCAGGTATGTGCCCTTGACAGGGAATCAAACTTGAGACCCAAACTTGGGAGGGGATGGGGGGTGAAGGCAGGGATAAAGCTGACTCTCTAACTACTGAACCACACCAGTTGAAAATTGCTGGCATAATATATTATCAAGCTTTGCACTCTAGAGTAGAGCTGCTCAATAGAAATATGTGAGCCATGTATGTAATTTTAAATTTTCTAGTAATTACATTAAGATCATGGAATTTTCATAATTTACAACCCAGTATCAAAAGTATCATTATTTCCACATGTAATCAATATTTATTTATGTAATTTTCCCCCATACTAGGTTTTTAAAATCTGGTCGACTTTCACACTTATATCACATTTCAATATACTAAAGTGCTCAAAAGCCTCATGTGGCTAGTGGCTTCTGAACTGGACTGTGCAATTCTAGAGACTAGAGCAGAATAGAGCACTATAGATTAAAATGCAATCTTAGAATCTTCTCCACCCCTAATCACAAATTTTCAGGCACATTACGTGTGTTAAGACCTGGCTAATACAAAGCATACCAAAGTAGATATTAAAACCTTTATAATCCATAAAAAAAAGATTAAAAATCTGCCTGGTTGTGTGGCTCAGTGGTTGAGCATCAACCTAGGAACCAGAAGGTCATGGTTCAATTCCAGTCAGGGCACATGCCCGGGTTGTGGGCTCGATCCCTAATAATGGGCATGTAGGAAGGAGGCAGTGATCAATGATTGTCTCTCATCATTGATATTTCTATCTCCTTCTCCCTTATTCTCTGAAATCAATAAAAACATATTAAGCTGGTTTGGCTCAGTGGATACAGCGTCAGCCTGCAGACTGAAGGGTCCTGGGTTTGATTCCCAGTCAAGGGCACATTCTTGGGTTGCAGGCTCGAACCCCAGTTGGGGGCATGCAGGAGGCAGCCAATCAATAATCCTCTCTCATCATTGATGTTTCTATCTCTCTCTCCCTCTTCCTTCCTGTCTGAAATCAAAAATGTATTTTTAAAAAAAACAGCATGTTAAAAATAAATAAGCATGGACAATGTAAAGGCCATTATTGCAGTAAAATTTGAAAATAGCCTCTCTATTTTGAAAATAGAAAATAGCCTCTTCTTTGAAAAGAAACTCAATCCAAAAAATGAAGAAAAGTAAATAACAATCCCTTCTGGAAAGGAATTCTTACTAAATTGACTATTTCAATGATGTTACTCCACACTGCAGTACTAGTACCCAATTTACTAGACAATGAATGTTAAGCTTAAGAAGCCTTAATGTGAATACTTTGTGATGAGAGGTGGTCAATGAAACAACTAGAAGGATTCATAGTACCTTTGCAAACTTGAAGAATGGTCTTGGATCTTTTCTGAAATATTCAATATCAAACATTGCTTGAGGATCTGGAAGGTCTGGGAAGTCTACTGCAAGACGAGCATAAATACCATCTCTTGACCTGAAGTCAGGTATTCCACAAGAAACAGAAACCTGCAAAATACATGGCATAATTTGTACAATTAAATCTTCTACCTCTATGTTTATAATTGCTCTTATACAATTAGGAAGTTGAAAAATATTTTCGTTTTAAACTTCTTTTGGAGGACAGAAATACCACCCTATTCCAATTTAAAATAGAAATAAAACACCCCCCAAACAAGTATTACTAAATCCATCACATTCCATTCATAATGGGGTAAGGAATTTTAAGTCAGGCAAATTTTGAATCTTAAAGCATTTAGTCAACAAATTAAAGCAATAGAAATTTGAGAAGTAAATCATTTCCAATTATTCTAACCAGAAAGCAGGGAGCAACTTCTATTACAGTCAAGTGTTTCCAAAGAAATCTCTCATCTGGTCAGGGACCTACTACTTCAAGAATACTGAATTTCTAGCCCTTGCTGGTTTGGCTCAGTGGATACAACATCAACCTGCGGTCCCCAGTTCAATTCCAGTCAAGAGCAAGTACCTCAGTTGCAGGCTCCACCCGGGAGGCAACCAATCAGTGTTTCTCTGTCTCCTCCCCTCCCCCCCCCCCTCTCTAAAAATCAATTAAAAAATGTCCAACAAAATAACTGAATTTCTGTATTTTCTTTAAAATACTACGTTGTACAATGTTTCAATTATTTTTATTGATTTCAGAGAGGAAGGGAGAGGGAGAGAGAAATAGAAACTTTAATGATGAGAGAGAATCATTGATCCTGCATGCCCTCTCTTGGGGATCCAGTCCGCAACCTGGGCATGTGCCCCGACCTGGAATCAACCATGATCTCCTGGTTCATATGTCCACAGTTCAACCACTGAACCAGGCTGGCTGGGCTACAATGTTTCAATTCTTAAGAATAGATTTAGACACTATGCTTTCAAATAGAGATTTGAGTGTAACCTTTTTGTTTCACAATTTTACCAATGTCGATTCCACTTTGACCTCAGAGTTAAGTCAAACTTATCTAAATCATATAGGGAGCAAATCATTACTATTCTTGATCATTTAAGATTAAGCGGCCCAACCGCTACACTTAGTGGTTGAGCATCAACCTATGAACCAGGTCATGGTTTGATTCCAGGTCAGGGCACATGCCTGGGTTGTGGGCTTGATCCCCAGTGGGGGGTGTACAGGAGGCAGCCAATCAATGATTCTCTCTCATCATTGATGTTTCTATCTCTCCCTTTCCCTTCCTCTCTGAAATCAATAAAAATGTATTTAGAAAAAAAAAAAAAAAAAAAAGGACTAAGTGACACCCTCCGTTAACTCAAAATGGCAGAAAGCAGAACTGAATTTTACTCCAGCATTGCTCTGGTCACTAACCAACATATTCTGTATTCAACACAGAAAACACAATACCCTTATGTAGCTAGTTATCTGTGACCCTATAGGGGAGGCAAACGAAAACTGTCAAGCCACCTCAATCACATCACCTTAATTTAAATGGATGGGAGGTAGGAATCTGTTACCTTCCTAACACTAAGTTCTTTACTTGTGAATATTAATTAGGTTCCTGGTTTCCCCATGAAGATGGAACAAAAACCCAGTCTCTCCATCACACCCTGACACACTTCAATGTAAGTTGAATTCTCTTAATCTCCTTTAGGAGTTGTGGTATAATGTAGGTAAAAATCTTGCCTTAATTCCACTTACCTACTGTACTAATAAACAGAAACAAATCTTTTTTATGGTTGTTGGAGAGGCTTTTAAAAACAACCAATTCAGCAACTGCTGCTATGCTCAATTTTTAGCAGTTTCCAAACACAAAAAATTGCCCATTATCATGGAAGGATAAATTCTTCTACACCAGAAAAACGTTTAATTGGAAAGGCATAAAACATTTACCACCTCCTCCTTTTTTACTCATGTTTTAAACATGTTACATACCCCAGCTCCAGTTAGAACTATTATTTTTTTGCATTCCTGCAGTAATTTCACAGCATCTTCTATTGTATTAATATCTTTTCTTTTTTTCCTTTTTGGTGGTTCTGAAAGGATATTAATAACAATCTGCCACAGTGTCATATCATCCCATTCAGGCGGAGGAATTGTTTCTGGTAGTAAATCTTTAAGAATTGTTCGAGGATCTGTGCCAATCATGAGATGTTGCTGAACAAAAGCATATGGACCTATATTAAGAGGACAAAGAATTACATCAAATTCACATCCAATTAATTTAAAACTTCATTTATTACAAAATAACTGAATTTTGTTGGATCTTTTCTGAAATACTTCATTCTGAAGTAATGAATTAACAATCTTTAAGGGTTTTTTTAATAAAGTAATAAAATGCAATATAAAAATATTTCATTTTCACAGCATCCTCAGAACGAATGCTATATCCCAATGAAATTAGGGAGATCAAATCAAGAGTTGGGTCTGCCCCTTGAATTATAAAATACAAAATATTTTAAGAGTCAAATTAATTACCAGAGTTAAATTTTGATGGTTAAAATTCAGAAATATACTCCATAATTAGTAACAGGAGCATGTATATACAAAAGGGTTCTACAAATCAATATAGGAAAGATCCTACCAATCCCAAAAGCCCATACTATTTATCATTAAAGACATAAGGCAAAGCCTTGGCAAGGTAACTCAGTTTAGTTAGAGCATCACCCCAACACACTAAGGTGGTAGATTCGATCCCCGGTGAGGGCATATACAAGAATTAACCAATGAATGCATAAATAAGTGGAACAACAAGCTGATGTTTCTCTCTCTCTCTCTCTCTCTCTCCCCCCTCTCTCCACCTTCCATTCTCTCTCTAAAATTATAATGTTAAAAAAAGACATAAATGAAAAGGAAATTTATATACCTCTCTAAGGAAATCTATACATAACTACTACCTTTTCAATTTTTTTCAGTAATAATATTCAATTTGATCTTAACCAATCTCCGAAAATGATACATATAATGCTGATACGTTTTAAGCACTGATTTTTTTTTACTCTGACATTTCTTAAGTCAGTTTTCTAGCTTGAGAAAACCAAAAAGACAGTAATAATATGGACACTAAGGAACTAATCATCACTAAATTTAAATAGTCAAGAATGAAGGCACATTAAGAAAAACATCATTTTCGAGATGGTCATAACTTTAGTATAAATACCTAATAGTGTTCTCTACTGCTAAAGTAGGTTTCCAGTTGTGAGTACTCGAAACACAGTTTATTCTTATGTTATTATTAATTATTGTATTATTTACTTGTATCACAACTATAAAGCTACTTTTGCCCACCCCTGTACTTTCCCATTTCATCAACATAGTTAAAGATTTACTGAGCACAAATTATGTGCCAGACACTTTTCTAGGAACTGACAAAATAGCATACAAATCAGTTTAAAAAAAAATCACTGTCCCCAATAGGGCTTATATTCTAGTATAAGAAACACAATAAAAAAGTTAAGATTCAGCCCGGCCTGTGTGGCTCAGTTGTTAGGCGTCGACCTATGAATCAGGAGGTCACAGTTCGATTCCCAGTCAGGGCACATGCCCCAGCTGCATGCAGGCTCAATCCCCAGTGGGGGACGTGCAGGAGAAAGCAGATCGATATTTCTCTCTTTCTAAAAGCAATAAAACATCTTTTTTTAAAAAGCGGTATGTTAAAAGAAAAGGAAGAACAAATAGGAAGGAAGAGCATTACACAGAAAAATGTGAAAAGGACCCAAGGACCTGAGGTGTGAGAAGGACCTGGTTGTTTGATAAATACTAGAGGCCAACTTCCATGGGTGTGAGCTGTTTAAAAACAAAAACAGAAGCACTAGACTTTCCCTAGAAACATAAATCTTAGCAAGCACCTAAGGAACCTCATCACCAGGTTATAAGGAGGCAGATAATTATATTTTTAGTTAGCATAAAACAAAAATACAAAGAAAAAGACAACATTTACTCTCTGAAGCTGTGAAACCATACCTATCCGTGGCCTTGGAGTCCAGTCACTAGAGCTTGCATGTGAGGCTCTATCATCCTCATCACTTTCACAGGAATGAAAACCATTGGTAATTATTTCATCACCAAACAGAAGGTTATCTGCAAAAGAAACCAAAAGCAACTCAAGTCTGCTGAACAATCTGCATCTAAAATGTATGAAGATCGGGACCCTGGCCGGATAGCTCAGTTGGTTAGATATGCCAAAGTTGTGGGTTCAATCCCGGGTCAGGGAGCATACAAGAATCAACCAATGAATGCATAACTAAGTGGAACAACAAATCCATGTTTCTCTCACCCCACCCTTCCTCGCTATCAAAACAATTTTTTAAAAAATGGCCCTGGCCTGTGTCTCAGTGCTTAGAACTTCGGCCCACATAACAAAGGTTGCGGGTTCAAGTCCCTGTCAAAGGCATGTACCTGGGTTGCAGGTTCAGATCCTCGGGCTTTGTGCTGGAGGCAGCCAATTGATGAGTCTCGCTCATGTAGGTATCTCCCGCCCCCCCTTCCTTCTTTCTCTAGGGGGTAAAAAAATCAATGGGAAAAATATCCTAGGGTGAGGATTAACAAAAATAAAAATAAAATAGCATGAAGATCTGTAATGGTTATGATGTAATGATTTTCACTGAATAAAACACGTTCAATTCCCAGTCAGGGCATATACCCAGGTTTTGGGTTTGGCAACCCATCAATGTTTCTCTCCCTTCCTCTCTCTCTCTCTCTCTCTCTCTCTCTCTTAACAAAGTCAATAAAAACATTTAAAAGAATGCCTACTGGGTCATCTTGCCTGACTGGGTAGCTCAGTTGGTTCATAGGAACAGTATTTTCTCCTTAAGGGATTCTAACCTCAATCTAAAAGTCTCAGTTCATCGAAAATCTAGATATAAGTCGTCTACTAAATCCAAACACAAAAAGGAGTCATCTAGTTAGACTGAACTTACCAACTACAAACAATGGAGCTCGTGAAATCTATCCACTAAAAATTCACCGAAAAAAGTGCCAATGAAATTACGGCAACTTGCAACTTCTCTAAACCTACACAGTCGGCTTTGCCTTAGTCCGTTTCCCCTATTACACTGTGGCCTGAAATGAGCGGTCTTCTGCCTAAATCCAGTCCCTAACGCACAGGCCATCTTCAGACAGCCCGGTGAGCCCGCCGACTCCATTCACTGACGCAGATACTGATGGAGACGAACCTCCACCCGGGACAGAAAACTCCTCGGATCGGAAACACGCAACTTCAAGGGAGACGGGACACAGACAATCAACACAGCAGACGTATTTAGTATGCCAGGAAAAAATGTCAATTCGCGTTCCGGGGTTGTATTTACACACAGGCAAGGGTGAGAACTACACTGAAAACAACTCGAGCATCGGAGGAGAAACACTGGTGGCGGCCAGGACTCTGCAAGCGCCGCTGCTCCCCTCTGCCCCCCGCCACCAGCTGCGCCACGGGACGGGCTTCGGGAACAGCTGCGCTCTCGGCAATGTGCAGGGTATGGCCTTAGAATGTAGCTTTGCTCTTTAAAATGTAAGACAAATGTAAAAACTAAGATCCTTCCCCCCCCCCAAAAAAAAGCCGCGAATTGCACCGGTATCCGTTTGCAAAGACAAGTGCAAAAAGATGGGCAAAAGTTGCAGGTTTGAGTGCTGGGGGGCGGGGGGAGGAGGGGGAGCTGCACCGTTTAACGAAAGCGCCGCATCCTGAACGGGTGGGAGGCGAGAGAAACTTATTTCAAAACCGACGGCGAGCTGT